GCTCAGAGCGTATTTGTTGACCACATCTCAAGGTGCGAAATAAATATAAAGAAAGAGGAAATATAAGGGCATAGAGGTCACCTCAGGCGAGAGAGATGAAAGTCGTACTAAGAGCGTTATTTTGGTTTGAAACAGTGTTAGCATCAGTTGTATTTCATATTTTACTGTTACAGTATTGTGTGATCCTAGGAATTTTTCATTAAGAAACAATTGATTGGAAAAGAAAAAAACATCGATCACAAATACGTTAAAATAACATCGACGTCAATACATTAATGTTTAAAACATCGACGTTTTGGAAACATCAATATGGATGTCGCATCCCTACTGTGATAGAGCGCAGAGTGCGGACCTGTGCATTATCGCAAATTAATTCCATCAAAGAAGATGTTCTGTTTTTTGTTAAAATCAATTAATCAAAATGTGTCACAAGATAATAAGATTGCTACTAAATGGTTTTTAGAATATTGAATTCAAAATATAGAATATTTACCAAACGTATACTGGCTGATATTAACTTGCGAGAACGAATTGTAAAGCGCTTTTGTGTTTTCAAAACCAACATTTTTCCTAAATAAGGATTTGATAGCCCTCTCAATAAAGTCACTCAATTGGATTTACATAACTGTACAAGGTAATGTAATGTACTGTACGACCGTCCAATACATCAAGTATGAGAGATATTTGTCTTAAACTCGTGTATCCAATTGTGTTGCCTCACAAAAATAGATAAATGCATTTGAAAATGTGCGGTTTTGTTTCATTAATGTTTAAATAAACGTAGGACATTTTAAAAGTATTTAAAAGAACTTGTGAGGTTTTGTAGATGTTTATTTGTTTACGAAACCCAGACATTTTTCCCCGCACGTTTCCACATTTCTGTTCGCATGTCATGTGTTTCATTAACCCCTTTAGCGGACCTCACAAACACCTTTGATATCAAAAAAGTTCTGTATCCGTCTTGAATCTTGTGAACACACCATGAAACTCGTCTGAGGCGACACGTTGGCCAACGACGAGAGCCAACGCTTGCAATCAGCGCGACCCAAAACTACTAGGAGTTTCGGTTACTGGTAGGCGTTTATTAGTGACTTTCGGCTCTCGTTCGTTGTATCAGCCACGATTTGATAACAGAGCCAGTCAAACTGCTGACAGTCAGCGCCGGGTCCTCACGCGTCGAGAACCAACGTCCCACGTGCGCGTACCCTGACGTCCCAGAAAGTCGCTCTGGGCGAATTGGTCGCTAACAAATCCGCAACAGTTTGTCTAAAGGCAGCGTAACGGATGACGACTTTCAATGATGACGATGATGAACGTTCTCTCCGGTTTGATTGATTGGTGTTTCCGGGCGCGTTAACTGCTAAAGCCATTAGTCCCAAAAGTGCAGTGCATGTTTATCGCGGAATGTTGCGGAGATCCACCAGTCGGCTTGCGCTTTTTCAACCAGTTATCCCCCATCAGTGCGGCACCGCCCCTGCCCGGACAAGCTCTAAGCTTCCTGACTGTAGTAATGTGTAGTAAGTCTCCCGATGTGTAGAAATGTAGTGCATGTGTGTGTACGTGTTTGTGTGTAAGGGGTGAGGATAGGACAAAGCAGAGAAAGGAAAGATCGCGCGCGGTCCGCTGCCCGTTTGCTTGGGTACTGCTCCGGCATTCGCCTGGTGTTAATCGAAGAAACCACTTAAAACTACCGATCAGAACCGCCGGCCTATTGTCCACCAGAGAACGGTTGAATCGGACCTAGCTATGTAGCATGCGTCGAAAATCCTGCCACCGATGGGTCTCGGACCTTAGAGATCCGAGGCAGTGCAATGTCATGACGTGATGCACTGAGCCAACTTTACTCCGATTTGTTTAAGATGGTGCTACGAAGCCACGAGTCGGACGAAGAGGACAGCATCGTCATGTAATCGGAAGCTTCGTTACGATTCAAATTTTGAGCATTGAAATTACCGATTGGATGACCATGTCCACCCGCATTTCAGCTTATGATCTTGAGGCGCCACGTTAAGAAACTCAATGGTTTTTAACGTATTTTACGACGTGACGCGTGAGGGCCTGTCTTCACGATGGAATATGTCACTGCATTGAGCATCTTTGTTGGTCGCGCCACTAGATACCGCATGATCGCGACTGTATCAAGCAGAGTGATGTGTCTAGCGGCACGACCGAGAAAGACGCGAAATGCAGTGAGATATTCCAGCGTGAAGACAGGCTTTGATACCAACGTATACACTTTGATTAATTCAACGTGACGCCTTAAGGTCTCGAGGTGAAAGGAGAGGGGGTCATTTCATCCAATTTTTTCCAAGCTTTAAAACGAATCGTAACGAAGCTCCCGATTGGATGACAGTGTCCCCTTTTCCTCCAGCTCATGGCCTGTAGCCGCCATGTTGAATAAATCAAATAATACGCAAGTATATTTGAGTTTTTTTTTGAATATTTACTTTTGGTCCCCATGTCTCACTATACCGTTCTAGAATATTTAAACTCTTCTGTAAGCTCTCAATCGAAAGTAGTAGTCTTCAAGAATGGGTTTATTTGGGGTAGCAAAGAGAAATGGTACTACGCTAGGGAA